GTGTGTGTGTGTGTGTGTGTGTGTGTGTGTGTGTGTGTGTGTGTGTGTGTGTGTGTGTGTACGTTTGTGCCAGTCGTGTGTACATATTATTATGCTCACATATTGTACTTATCAAAAACCTTGACCCGACTCGTCGTTCGCACAAGAATCACACATCATCCGAAGGGACAGAAGTCGCCTTCATTTTACTCCCCTTCTTTGTGCTGCCACATTTTCCCCAGTTACCTACCTTTGCCCCTGTCGCCTTCAGTTGTTCCGCCTCTCTGAAGAAGACTTTTTGGTTTCCGACGCTCTTGTTGTCCATGATCAGAATGACAGCGTTGGGGGCATCGGGGCGATCTCCGCCCTTCTTGCTGAAAATCTTGGTGCGGACCTATGAGTTAGAAGATGAATAAGAGATCATAATTTAAGTATAGATCGTCGACCATAAAGTGCTAGTTTTAATAAGAGTTTTGGAGCACTTGCAACAGTATTAGGTCGCATTATATTTTAAGAGCTGAAGGTTAGAGGCGTAACAAGTGAGTAACAAATACAAAAAGGAGGAGGAGGAGAGATTTATGAAGTGTAGGAGATAAACGTTTCCTTGCCGGGCACAAGACGGCTGGTAGAACGTTCGTAAAAGTACGCGAAAAGACGAGTTTTGGAAGTATCATCAGAGTTATGGAAAGACAAGAGAAGAAAGTGCTGACAAGCCTTTCTAAAACTTCCAGTCATTGTCGGGCGAAGAGAAAAGTGGCTAAGACGGGGGGGGGGGTCGTCTTGGGCATTGCCATTTTAATAGAAACAACGCAGGGGACTGTGGCAATTATTGGTACTGTGTACATATCGTGCTTGTCTAGGACAAGTGGTTACTTGTCATACGTTTTCAATAACAATAAATAAATAAAAATAAATTACACTTCTATTGATCCCATAAGGGTAATTTGGTTTACAATGGCAAACATACATACATACTTAAATACATGTTTATGAATACCTACATACGTAAACACATGCAGAAATACATACAGAAATACAAATATTACACCAGTGCAGAACAATTTACAACTTTGTCATTGCCGGTTGCCACTGTGCAGCGCCCTGTATTTTGATCTAGGGTTGTCGTGTCTAGCTCAAGGACACACCCCAGTGACAACCCATCTAAACCCGTGTAACAGACACTTGCTTGGCACTAGTTGAGTCAGACTCTGAACTCACTGCACACTTGGCCACTTACATAATATACTATGTCGATAGAACAATAGTAGATGCACAACATGTTTATAATAATATACTTTTTCGCACCCCTTTTTTTATTTTGCTTTCCAAACACTCTTCCAAACAAACCAGGGGAACGAAAGCAATAACAACAACAAACAAAAATAACAACAATTCAAACCACAGGGATACCACTGGGATTTTGAGAAAATAGATACAAATTCACGAAGGGGCATTTGCGAGCAAAAATACAGTTAATAGATAAGCTAATAGAAGATTAAATAGGAAACAAATATTTATCGTAATTAGACTGTTCTAGCACTGAAAATGAAAATAACGGCAACGACAACAGCCCCCCCCCCTCCTTCCCAACTCCAACCCCTCCTTCGAACAAAAACAAAACTACAAAAAAAACAACAAAAAAAAAGGAAAAACATGCATCCTTGACACAGGGATAATTTTGTGTACTCACATTTTTCAAGGCGTTTGCTCCGTTGCCAACTCTAGCGCGGTCCTTGCGCCCGATGGCGTTGATTTGTTTCATCACATCAGCAGACGTCTTGAACTTGGCCAAATTGAACTGCAGAGAAAACAAAAAAGGTGTGCTGGGTTTATTTCTTTTTAAAAAATGTAGTTGTTGTTTTTGGGGAGGAAGTGGTTGGTGTTCGTTTTTAAAAAATCTGGTTGTTGTTTTGGGTCATTTTTTGCGCCCCCCCCCCCCCCCCCCAACACACACCCCCAGTTTGCACTTCCTTAATTATTGAGAGTTCCACACGAAAAAGAGGTTTGATTTTTAAATTCTCATCTATGCTACGCGTCATAAGAGGAAAACCAAGTTCTCTACCCTGAAAATGACTAACAGCGTGTTAAGTAGAGCTGTGTAATAGCATTAAAAACCACCTCATATTGTTTCGAGTTTTTAAAATAATCCCCCATCTCCCCCTTTAGTTTTAGCTCGGCTGCACTGGCAGAAAAAAAACCTTTCAAAGTCGTTGTGACTGTGCCTCCATAAAACTGTTTAATGTTGCTTTGACAGGTCTTAGCTCTTTGACGACTTGCAATCTGTTTAATAGTCGAACTTTGAAAATTTTCTGAGTTAGAACACGTCCTTATTCAGGATGTTTTTCCATTTTGTTTATTTCAACTGTAGCTTAAAAAGACAGAAAACAATATGCTGCACACTACGAAATATGCACATTCGTGTCTCGTGCACGATTGTTCAAAATGTGCAACATCATTGTTTTTCGCCAGCTCAGTGTCTCGTACGATTCTGTCATACGGCACTTTTCAAACGGCGTACGGCAAGAGTTTTACACTAAGGCTGAAAATATACTGTCACGCACAACTGAAGTGCGCCGCGAAAAAAGTCGTGCCCACCCTTTATTTCCTATCTGTGATTACACTAACACGACTAGACGTAAGGTGCCGTTAGGACCCAAAAAGACGTGCGTGCCTGCAGCACTTCTTTTTCGCGTGCGGACAGGCTCACCCTGCTATCGGAATGTTCCGGGACGCCATGGATATAAAACAAAAGGGGGGGGGGGGAACCACTGAGTGAGCTGTATACGCCTGCTCGGTGCCATTTTTTACACAGTCGGACGCAGTCGCGCTGACCCACTGGATCACCACTTCCGACCTGGCTGCTCGTCCGTTTCGCGGTGTACTTCAGTTGTGCGTGTTGGAATATTTTCAGCCTAAGCAGTTGATTTGGTCTGTTTCTGATTGGACATACTGTGACCTCTACCGACTCGTACACACCAAACATCCGCGTTCGTGTGGTATCGTGCATTCGTCTAACGCACGAACGTAACCCCTTTCACACCTAACATCAGTCTATTCGTGCGTTATTGTGAGTGTTTTATATCAACATGGAAGTGAGGACTGACAGGGAAGCATGCCAGTTTGTCACAGGCCCAGTTTGTCACAGACTGTACCCTGCATGATGGAAGTTATCACTGACACTCTCAAAAAGAGTTAGTGAATGACTGATTGATTGTATGAATTGAATTTCATTATTCTATATTTTTTTTAACGAAAGAACATTCATTGCTTGAATTTTACAGAGTAATTTGCTTTGATTTGCATACAAAAATGAAGAAATATTGAACAACACAAGCTGGATTGACATTTTAGACAGATATCTCTATACGACCAATTTGAAGGTGGAGGATAAAAAACTAAGTTACAACTGCAGTGTTAAAGTGCTGTAATTATGACTGTCATCAATACTGAAATACCTCAATGAAATTGTGACAGACTGGGCCTGTGACAAATGAACAAAAATTAGCGGTAGTTGCTTTTTGTCTCGTGGTCCTCGTGGTTATTGGACTCAGGGAGGGAGCGGTCGGTTACAACATGAGAGCAGACAGAAGAAAATTTACGGTTGCAATAAAACTCATCACACGCATGAACGACAAGTATCACTACCGCATGAACACGAACAGTAATGGTGAGAACACAAAAAGGGCCCAGATAAGTAACAATTAATTCTTTCGTGCGTCTCAGAAACAATACCAAACGAAAGAGGATGTTTGGCGTGAACGAGGTGTGCGTCGTTAAAGAGTTCAACGATTTGAGAACTTGCGATATAAGAACTTACGATATAAGAAAATTAAGAACTTACCCGAACTCGTGGCCGCTTGGCGAAGTTGGTGAGAGAAACCCTAACATCGCCGCCGTCAATGTTCGCTTTCTCTAGGATGGCCTTGAGGAAAGGAACAAAGTACTTGGGGATGTTCGCCGGGGCGATGCCAGAGGACAAGTGGAAGACGATCGCAATATCTGCCTTGGTCGAGTCTAGAACGAGATGAGAGAAAACGGGAAGAAATAAAGACATGGGGGTAGTGTGGATGGTTTATGGTGACATTGAGTCTGAATGCTGATTTTGTTTTCTTTTGGTTTCATTGTTTTTTGTTGTTGTGGTTTGTTTGGTGAGTTTTTTGTTTGTTTCTTTGTGGGGGTTTTGTTTGTTTGTTTGTTGGGGTTTTTTAAAAATTCTTTATTTTATTTTATTTTTATTTTTTTTGGGGGGGGGGGGGGGTAGCGGAAGGCCAACACGTATCCCAAGACAAAAGTCAGTTTCAAGTAACATTGGCAAGCTCAATCGGATGATGGTCTAGTTGAGGTCTCGCTTCTTAAAGTAACTTGAAATTTGTTTTTAGTCCATGGCGTCATGACTGCAATTAAAATTTGAGTCTCATGTTGGTCACACATAGAATGGAGCGCGTGGATGTTCGCTATATACCCGTTAAGTTTCGAATTGAGACCTAAACTAGAGATTTACTCTGAATCAGAAAGAAACAACAACAACAACAACAACAATAATAATAACAACATCAACGAAACAACAATAATAACAACAACAACAACAACATGCCCCGCAACTGAGGTCCGGCGGTGGCATCTCTTTGGGGAAGATTCAGGGAGGTTGGACTGCCTCACCCGCTACCCAACAGAGGCGGTGGCCCTGGCGAAGAGCATGCTCTTTGGGGCTCCTGACATTTCGAACGGATAGAGTACCACACACACAACAACAACAACAGCAGCAGCAGAGTGAGGAGATGAAGTGCAACACTACTCTTACCGGAATGTCTTTCATGAAATTGAGAGACCAAGGTACCCATTCTCATTTCTTCTAGTTAAGAGACCGAAGAAGTCTATTTTCTTTTTCTTCCGTAGGTCGCTGACGCATTTCCTTTTGCGCGTGAGCTTATATTAGAGAACAGCTAAGAAGGATTACAACTTCAGTTCAACTTAAAGTTGTTTTTGTTTTTGGCTCTCCCTCATATGGTACCAATGTGTTTTGCACGCTGTGAACAAGTTCCTAAATTCCTTCATAATCAATCTGCAGTTGAATTTTTTAAAGTCATAGCTGTATTGACGTGTGGTTCAGAGATACGGACAACAAACAAAACAATTCAATAAAAATTAAATAGATTCCAAGCAAAATGTCTACGTAGAATTTTACTAATAAAATGGAAATACTTTATTACAAATAATGAAGTGTTGAAAGAGCTGGAATTGAATATATCCACAAAATCAGGAAAAGGGGACGATGGAGCTATCTGGGACATGTTCTGAGAGTGCCGAAGACAAGATTGCCCTATCAGATGTGCCATTGGAAACCAACTGGAAAGAATAAGCGGGGAAGACCAACTGGCATCTATAGAGGCACAATAAGAAATGAGGCAATCACCCAGGGCCTGGATGTGCCGAAATTGAAGGACGTGGCCAGGGACAGACAAGCGTTGCGTCGACTGCTCTCCGCCTTGCGTACCCCCGGACGGTATATGGAGAAAGTAAGTAAGTAAGTATGTTGACAAACGTCTTTTAGGACCTATGTAAAGCAATAGTCCCTGCAATTGGCCACCATAACAATATTCCAGATTAGATGTGGGGGCTCCCGCTGCTTAAAGGTTAAGGTGTTGGCCCCTTATTCAAAGGTCCCGGGTTCGAATAAGGTAACGACCAAAAAAATTTCTTCTCTAAAATTATCTTCTTTCACCTCCTTTCTTGCTCCCTAACAATGTTCTGTCGTAGTCTTTCGTCTCCTCTTTCTGTCCCCCACCCCCCTCACCTCCTTTGCCCCCTCCTCTGGGCCCCTGACTCTTCTTGTAGTCTTTCTACTGCTACTCCTTGGCTTCTTTTAACTGCTGTATTTCAGCCACACCCCTGATCTTCTGTTAAGAAAGATCTACACCTAACCGTCTCGGACAAGGGCCAAAAATCTCGGAGGGGCGGTGTCCAAGTTGCGCAAGTTAAAGATCCCTTGGTGGTCTAAAATCGATAAGAGTAGACTTCGGCCGCCACCTGGGCAACATTCAAAATTTCATACCAACTGAAAAAATGTAATGGGTCCCGTGCGCTCATATGACCTTATGCAGTTGCGAGCACCGTAAAACACTTATAAAAAAACACACACACACAAAATTAGATGCAAACGCCATAACTATAAACCTTACCATCAACGCTCATCTCTGAGCTGGGAAGGTCTTGCTGTTGAACTGTGTGACGTCAGGGGGTGGGGGTGAAGGAAGAGTCATAAGGAAAACAAGATTACGGACATAATATTTCAACATAAAAAAGAGGAGCGGCTGTGGGGATGGTTTTTCTGGACTTCTGTAAGAGCAGTGTCGGTGCGTTCATGGTGAATTCATTTGGTATACCTATTTGCAGTAGCCTTTCACCTCACATGCGCATGGAGTGGCTGGCTATCTTAGCACTCTGCATCGGTTGGGGTATACATGTAGTCTTTTCCTGTGTACATAATCATTATGTTTTATATTATGAGGAATGTGTATGTTTGTGTGTGTGTGTTTGTGTGTGTGTGTGTGTGTGTTTGTGTGTTTGTGTGTTTGTGTGTGTGTGTGTGTGTATGTGTATGTGGGCATTTGTGTTTGTGTGTGTATGTGTGTTTGAGAGAGAGAGAGAGAGAGAGAGAGAGAGAGAGAGAGAGAGAGAGAAAGAGAGAGACAGACAGACAGATAGACAGACAGACAGACAGACAGACAGACAGACAGACAGAAAAAGAGAAAGGTTAGAGAGAGAGAGAGAGAGAGAGAGAGAGAGAGAGAGAGAGAGAGAGAGAGAGAGAGAGAGAGACCGAAGAAAGAGGGATATCTAATGAATGTAAAACTGTAATTATATAAAACTTTCGCTGAAGGGGTGGTGCTGCAGTTAGAAAAGCCGGTTTGGGGCCAAATTACACAAAATGAGATAATTACACCTTAAGATTCCTGGACATGTCCTGAACAATATCTAGAAAGTACACACGCCTCCCTGCACCCTAAAGTGGTGTTTGGGGAATAAAGATTGTCAGTGTCATTGTCGTTAAACTTCCACCTGTCTAATGAATGTTTTTGTTTGCCATCGCCTTCGTCCTCTAACATTAGTATTGATTATATACAGTCACGGTCGCTTCCCATTTAGTACATAATTAGTCCAAAGTGCTAATTGATACACAGTACTTTTAGCGCTAAAATGTCCACAGTCTGGTTGCGGTAATATTCCTAACATTTTCAGATCTCCCTCGCTGCTTTGCAATACAACAATTCGCAAAAAAACTAAACAATAAAAACAAACAAACATGGAAAGCAACATTATCCGACTGAGTTAAAAATCTTTCACCATACTGTCTTTGAACTCAAAGTACTTAATTAACAGAAAGTTGTTTTGTTGCTTATTTTATGAGGTTTTGAGTTGCTTTTTGGAGGGGAGGGGAACGGGGGGCATTCGTAAAACAAAAAATGATCTTCCTCAAGCTTGTCTTTTATTTTAGTCTGTTAAAATAATCTATTCACTTATTTATTTTATTTCTTTGTTTACAATTAAAGAAAATTGACTTTTCACTTTCACTGCTGGCGTATCGTTAACGTTCCAATGATCTTATTCTAACCATAGTATGATCACATGTTTAGAGAGAGAGAGGGGCGAATATGGTGCCCCAATCTATCCACCAACACGACCATGCGACAAACGGCAGCACCGGGGGAAAGCGATTGTGACGTCATCGTTTGGCGAAGTCGATCACAGTATCGAATACAGCAAGACAAGCTAGATTTTAGTCGCCTCCATTTTCAATGACAAGAGTTCTAACGAATCACCTTGAAGTTAAGTTTGTTCGGTTGTTGTTGGTTGCTGTTTATTGGCTAATTTCAAACATAAAATTCCTACACACAAAACACATTCTATGTGCGCCCCTCGCCGAAGGACACTTGGAGCTGACATAGACCTAGCTAAAGATAAGGAAAAAACAGTAACACGTATCAGGCGATCTCGTCAATGTATCCAGGCAGCAAGAAAGATACCTGGATACCTGGAGGTGTCATCTCTGACTCAGAGGCTGACGTGTAATGACTCTCCATCCTTCATGGTCGCGAGCCTTTTAACTGCCTACAATCGAAAGGAGCTGACAAAAGAAGAATTCTTAAAGACAGGGGTCCCAGGCTATTTTGATCTATTTTGGTCAAAATGGTCAATATTGAGATGCGCACTTTTTCACAATTTTGAATCTACACTAGAATTTGTTTTTAAACGCTACCAGCACAGTTCCAAGCCTATTCAGAGTTTATTTCCATTCAACAATCTCAATTAGGCCTAATCTGTAAGCAGCATTTTTTTAAAACAAAGAAAAACTAAGTAATGATACCATGACCAACTCCGTCAAGACGAGATATCGCTTAGCATAATCGCTGTTCCCCGGCCTTCCGCGACAAACCACTGAAAGCTTTCACACGATAATAATAATAATAATATAATAATAATAATAATAATAATAATAATAATAATAATAATAATAATAATAATAGTAATAACAATAATAATAATAATATACTCATAAACAGCACTACCATGGTAATCTCGGTTCAGACGAAGATTTTATAAGAACGTTTTTAAAAAAAATATTATACTGTAGAACTCTGACCACCGTGAGGAAAGGAGATCATTGTCTCCACAAAAACTGCACCCTAGATTTGGAGACTATAGTTTATTGCGTGTAAATACCTTGCTCTAAGGGAATAAAACTAAGACACTGCTTGTTATAGCATCGTGTTAGCCCAACTTCCTTTAGCCCCCCCCCCCCTCCCTCCCACTCCCAGAAAAAAAGAAGGAAAAGAAAAGAAAAACTAATATAATAGATTAATTATAAATAAAACAAAGAAAGAATAAAGCTCTCTTTCTATGAATGAACAAAATCAAAACATATTATAATTTAACTACATTATTAAAAAAAACCACAAGCAAATAAATAAACAAATAACCGACTACGTAAGGCAGAAGAACCAAAGAACATTTAAGTGAACGTATGACAATAAACAATAAATAGATACTATAGTGAATATATTATAGATAATTAATGGTATAGAGATATTTAATGAACATCTAAAGCAAAAACAAAAGAATACAAGAATAAAAGAAGGTGGTGGGAGGGGAGGGGTCTGCACAAGTTGTAACTCCTGTATGTTTATTAGTATAATACCAAGACTTAGGCACCTCCTCTTTCGAAAAGATACCTTCTTTAAGTCTTAAATTGATAAATTCTCAAATATTATTGCAGAGTACACGCCGCAAGTAGTAAATACCAGGTCTCTTTCCCTAAACACTCACATCCTACCCCATGCCCCTGTCATAACACTCTACTGTCTTCCCCCCAAACCATCCTCCTTCCCCGAAGCCTCACCCACACTCAACAAGACACGAGAAAAACCTAATACAACCCCCCCCCCCCTAAAAAAAACAACAACCCCGAAACAAAACGTCCAAACACCTATAACAGTTGGGGATAATTCTCAACAGTAAAGCGTACGTCATGGATAATCAAAAAAGGGGCAAAAACCACTGAAAGCTTTAGACTCAAAGGTTCAATCCTTTAAAAGAAGCTTAAACAATCAGCCAAACACATACGACATTGCCACTCGCAATGACGAAGCACACCAGGTCAAAACACGTGCCATGATGATACCAAGAAACAAACCAGCTCCTTGACATCTAAAGCTAAATAACGACGCACGAAAGACAAGATCGATGCATAAATATTCCAACCAACGACAGTTACCAATATGCATAAAAGATAATGACACTGATAATGCTTATGAGCAAGAATTACATCGTCGGCTTTATTCCAGAAAACCTAATTCATTTCTTGAAAAAATTGAGAAAATTGAAGAAAAAAATTCAAAATCTACTTTATATAAATATGATTATTATATACATTATAATATATAATTATTCACCAGTATTGAAATATGACTTGAGAACTTGTTATTCATTCTATGAAAAACTAGTAAAGAAATAACATAACAACAAAACAAAACTACGTCATTGCAAGATGTCCCTTGACGTCTTTATCTTCGTCCGGAAATCACCGGAAATAATGAACTGATGTGAGCGACTGTGAACTCACACTGACGTTACCAATACCTGTTTAAACAATCATCGTGTACCACAAGATGTACGCCCTCTTAAACCTTCAGTATACTTGGAATAAAATATTGATGCCCCCATTGACTTGACTTACCCCCCCCCCTCCTTCACCCGCCCCCAATTTGACATCTGGCATTTAAAAAAAAATTATTTAAGGATATATTATAAACATAATTACCAAGGATCCATATTGACATGCTTTTTTAAAAGGGAAATTAGTCATGCCGACTGTTTGGTACTCCAATCAAAACGCACACCCATAAACAGGGAATGATATGAAAGAAGTTCATACGTGTTAATAATATTATTATGTCAATACAGCACGCTCAAAAATATTGAACAAACTATACATCAAAACCAGAGGCAGTTAAAAGAGAAAAAAAGGGAAGGATGTAAGATTCTCAAGTCCAATGAAATTGAGATTTCCGAAAATCGCAATTAGAAATAATATGTTTACATACATAGGGGCTTACAAACTAAATATATCTGAATTTGCTTTGCGTAACCTTCGTCGTATTTCAGGAATGTACAGTATTCTCTTTCAGCTAACCTCTGGATTTGGCATTGTCATATAATAATATGCTGTTTTAGTCACACAGACGGTTTTGATTTAATGTAATGATAAAAGAATACTTAAAAGAGAGTCAGTACATGCGTTAGCTTACGTGGGGCAACCTGTTTGACTATTTTCTCCTTGAACGCGAACAGATCGTCCAGAGAAGCCACACTGAACGCATCATCATCAGATGACGCAATCAGTTTGAGCTGAGGCTCGACAGCTTTGCCAATTCCTGCAGCAAATATTTTCGTGCCGGCGTTCCTAACCTTCCTGGCCGAAGATTTAATCTTCTTCTCATCAACGGTCGATTTGGCGTCAGTCAGGAGGACAACCACATTGGGTACGTCAGGCCGGTCTCCTCCGGCCTTCGAGAGAATTTTTCCACGTACGAGGTCAAGACCTTTGGCAACACTTCCAACTTTAGACCTGTACAACTTTAATCCTTCAACCGCAGTCTGAACTTTGTCCATGGTTTTGTACTTCTTCAGATTGAAAATCACAACTCCCCGTTTGCGGTATGCCGCAACGGCGACACGGACTTTGCCGGAGTCTATGTCGGCTCCTCGGATAATGTCCGAGATAAAATCTTTGTAGTACTGGTACTTGCCACGGTTGATTTTCTTGGACGTGTGAAGTAGGAACACCAAGTCTAGGGTTTTCGTTGCTGTAAAGTGTGCGTTGTCAGTACACAGAAGCCATTGAGTAAGGAAAGGAGACATAAGACAATCGATCTGGATGTCATGAGTTTGACTAGTACATCAGTACATAAGTACATCAGTACATATTCCTTTAGCTTCATACCCTGAGGGTGTGGGGACAGGAGGCTAAGGCAGCATTCTGACTACCGTCGAACTTGCTCTAACGGACACCTGACAAAAACATCACCTGTACAAACTACCGTTTCCCACGTGCACTTAGAATTTCTACTTTGTCTTTAATAATGCCACTGACCGAGATATTCAGCTGTCTAAGACAAAAATTGTTGTCCCCCATAATGGTCCTCTTCGATAGTTTTGACGGTACTGTGACCAAAAGTGGTAACATGATCTCCAACAGATTTAAAACTCTAGGTGACAGCTGTTCCTTATTGACCCCGTTCAAGGAAAAAGGTTAAATGAAAAAAAACCAAAATAGTGGCTGCTCTTTGATGACCTTTTACGGGCAGACTAAGAGTACAGCATTGTTGAGCATTGGCACTGATTTATACCGAGCGGAGAAAAGCAAAACGTTCAACGCGCACTACAATAACAATGATGTACGTAATACCTAACACTATCATGCGCATCTTTTTTTCTACTAATTAAATCAGATGGTATAAAAAAAGTGCGCGCTAACAACCGCTTCCCGGGCTCTGCTTTCAGGAATGCAAACCCAGTCCCTGTTTTCTCATTGGATGGACTTGTTTTGTCCGACAGTAATTATTTGTTTCTCGCTCGTCAATTGTTATCACTGTCGATTCAACACAGTTTATATTTATATCTCTGTTCTGTGCTCTCTGTAGCTTATAAAAAAAAAGCCATCTTGCCAACACCCACTTCCCCACCCCCCTCCCCGCCACCCCTGAATTGTTGCACTGTTGAAGACCAAAAAAAAAGACTGAATAAGATGGTAATAAGCACCTTTCTAGCTTGGGAGGTTCAGTTCTTATTATGCGTGGCTGATCCCTTCGTCTACCATCTGTTGATTTGTGTGTGTGTGTGTGGGGGGG